TTTTCTGCTTTCTAGCAAAGCTAAACCATGCGGCACAGCTGATCGTCAGAAATACCAGTTTGGAGGAACAGGTGGTTTTTATCACTTCAATTTCACCCCTGGCACAGGGGTGTCAAACTCGTGTCATCACAGCTTCGTCATATGATGTATCACACTTTTGCCCAGTAAATCAGGAGTGTCTGCCCAGGCCCAGACACTCCTGATTTAGCAGAAAGAAATAGAGAAAATGAGAATTATCTACCTTGTGGCATGAGAGAATGTTGGAAGAGATATGAATTTTCCTGATCCAGTTTGAATGAAAGATTCAAAATACTGAATCGTTTTGATCTGAAATGGTATTCCAACTCAACAGGATAGAAATGATTTGATCCATTGAATTGAACTATCAGTTTCCTTTGAAGGTGGCTTTTACACAGACACAAATGCAATCAAATTGATTCAACGTGATTATTTAATTGGATGAAACAAATCAATGATTCAGTCAGACTAACTTTGAATCAAATGTCTTTGTACATTCATAGAGAATTGTCTCTGCACCTGCTTCTCCTACATGAAAAGAATAATAATGATGGCATATTTTAAAAGATTGCTGGGAAACTATCTGAAACATTGTTCTCTGAAACCTTACCTGGAAAAATGGAAATAAGTGTTGAGTTGAATATAAATGTATTGTATATACTTGAATATAAGCATATATAGAATATAGTTGAATATGAGTATATTTATATACTCTTGCATTAATAAAAAGAAACTCTTTTTGTTGTTGAAAAAGTGTATGAAATTCAAGTGGTCAGAATGGAGGAGAAACTAATCTGTACTGCCAAAAGGAAACAATTATGATTCTCTTTGGGTAGATTGTGGTGGGCAACTCCCAGCCCTCATATAGGCCTCTAGCACACCATTTGTGGATCCCCAGTACTCCAAAATATTGTTGCCAAAATCTAATAATAAAATCTGGCCAATGTTGGCTCATTTTTAGGTTTTTTTTTATCATTTTCGGGGATGGGAATGAAAATGGCTTCACTCTAAAAGTCTTCATGGCCAGTTTAACAGATTTAACAGATTAACAGAGTTGGAAGGGAGCTTACAAGTCATCTAGTCCAACCCCCTGCCCAAGCAGGAGACCCTACATCTGCCTCTACCTAGGATCAAACTCACAATCTCCTGATTGTGAGGCAAGAGCTCCACAGCAGCTGGGCTATTTTAAAGGGACAGTAGAGTCAGGCTATTGGATCCTTCATGGGAATATCACTCCAGAGGCAGGTGCTGATAGACATCATCTAGAACCTATCAGATGATGCTAGATGATAGATGGGATGAGTATTTTTCTTATCTGATAAGATATGACATCACAAGACCTGTCACAACACCCTCAATTGACACACCCACACCTAAGCCCTTATAAACAGAACACTGACACTGACATCCCCTAAACTGCACTGAATATGTTACCTAGCCTGGTAATGAAACGTTCAGAAACCAATCCACAAGCTCAGAGAATAAACCTTTACCCTCACTCACAGATACTGTATGTCTGTAATATCAACAAATACCTTTGAGTTGCTTTTCTAGGCACTATGAACACAAGAGGTTCTTGTAGCTTGTATATCTTGTATCTTACAAAGCTGAAGTATTTGTGTCTTGGGCAATATATAAACTCTTAGTAATTTTCTAAATTTTATACTTCAGGGGCAAATGTGTCAACTGTTTAGAAGCAAATCTATTGCCTTCTGCACTTCCCCTACAAGCATCTCAAATCTTGTTCTCTTTTTGGAATCTTACCAACCAGGTTGAAAAACTAGGATAGTAGCACAATCTGTAGTTTCGGAACAGGCCTCACAAATCTGTGACAATGCTGTATATTTGACCACATAGTTGATATTTGATGAATAGCACAATTTGTGATAGCTTCTCATTTTGTTCTTCATTGTCACAATGTGTTGTTATTTAATTTTAAAAACAAGGTAGCAATAATTGTTGGAATGTATAACTTGCTAACAGTACTCTATACCATATGTATATTCCTTTATCTGTTTGTAAGAGATATTTTCAGAAACTGAATGAACCATTTCAGATGTCTCCTTGGAGAAATTCTCATTTCTTCAGTTTCTACTTAGGAAATCCCACCTACAGGTTTGTGTGAGAGATTTTAATTTCCCAGCTTGAAGATAGACCTTCTAATATGAATGTCAACAATACATCAGCAAATGACACATTTTTTCTATAGATAGCTTCCCCTCTGGCTTTTTGGAATTGGTGTATATTTTTAGAATTTGGAAGATATTCGCATCCATATGTTTTACAAAGTATGTAGCTTCTTGTTTTTTATTAGCCACCAATGAGATGTGGCTTGCATTAGCATAGCAACTCTGGTTTCAATCTTATGTTCATGATAAATTATCAATATCAGGCAAAATCAGTAGTCCCACCTGGACTACTGCAATGCTCTCTACATGGGGCTCCCCTTAAGGAGCACCCGGAGGCTCCAGCTGGTCCAGAATGCGGCTGTGAGGGTGGTTATGGGAGCGACAGGGTGCTCCCATGTGACCCCCCTCCTGCGCGAGCTGCACTGGCTCCCGGTGGTCTTCCGGGTGCACTTCAAGGTTTTGGTTACCACCTTTAGAGCACTCCATGGCTTAGGACCAGGGTATCTATGAGACCGCCTTCTGCCACCAGTAGCCTCTCACTGACCAGTATGCTCCCATAGAGAGGGGCTCCTCAGGGTGCCGTCGGCCAAACAATGTCGACTGGTGGCCCCCAGGGGAAGAGCCTTCTCTGTGGGGGCACCCGCCATCTGGAATGAGCTCCCCCCGGAGATACGGAGGATCCCGGACCTGTGTGCTTTCCGCCATGCCATCAAAACATTTCTTTTCCAGCAGGCCGGCCTGGCCTAACCTCTCTTTTAAACTGTTTTTTAAAAATTTTTAAATTTTTAAATTTTAAATTTGTCTTATGAATTTGGGGTGTTTTAAATTTCGTTTTCCGGGCCAATCATTTAATTGTATTTTAATGGTTTTTTTTTTTAACATTTGTATTATATGTATTTTATTTGGCTGTTCACCGCCCTGAGTCCTTCAAGAGTAGGGCAGTATACAAATTCAATAAAAAAAAAAAATCAGTTTGATAATAGAATGGAAATCGTTTTCTTGAATAACCTTGATTGAAGGTGGAATACAGAATACAGAATAATAAGATCAGATGTCTACTTGTCTCTTTATTTATCATTGGAAGAGCTGCAACAGAAATGTCATTTGCTAAAAAGTGTGGAACTGAAATAATCACTGTTAAAGCCATATTAGTTAAGACGTGGCACTGTTAGCAAAGATCCAAGTTCTAATAGAAAAGATGAAGCTCTATATAGCCATGATATAACACTATGATTTGCTCTAGCTCAGGGTTTGTCAACCTCAGCAACTTTAGGGAAGATGTGCAGTCTTCTTAAAATACATTGCTGGATGGGGAATTCTAGAAGTTGGTGGAATGAATAATGTTGGTTTTGAATCAAACATGATTATGAATACATGAAATGGATACAAATAAAAGGGAACATTAGGACAGGGATGGTAGGCACGCTGGTGCGTTTATGTACACCCCTTACAGACCTCTTAGGAATGGGGTGAGGTCCACAGTAGACAGTCTAAGGTTAAAGTTTTTGGAGTTTGGGGAAGAAACCACAGAGTCAGGTAGTGCATTCCAGGCATTGACCACTCTGTTGTTGAAGTTGTGTTTTCTGCAATCGAGTTTGGAGCGGTTTACTTAAGTTTGTATCTATTGTGTACTTATGTATTGTTGTGGTTGAAGCTGAAGTAGTCATTGACAGGTAGGATGTTGTAGCAGATAATTTTATGTACCACGCTTAGGTCAGACCGAAAACTTCAAAGAATGAAGAATGGGTTTCAGTTGGAGTACCCTTTCTAATGTAGAAAAGTAAAGAAAAAGATACTAATCCTGGCAACTATAGGGATATTATTTGCCTTCATACATCTATGTTATTTATAGCAATAGTAACAAACCTAGTGAAAATTAAATGAAGCAAAACAGACACTTCTGAAAATTCACAAGGCATAAAAGGCCACTTACTGATCAAAGGAAAAAGAAGAAAAAGAGGCCTTTTAATCGATTTGATAAACTATAACAAGGCATATGATCAGTGGTGGGATTCAAGTAATTTAACAATTGGTTCTCTGCCCTAATGATTTCTTCCAACAACCAGTTCACCAAACTGCTCAAAAAGTTAACAACCGGTTCTGCCGAAGTGGTGAGAACTGGCTGAATCCCACCACTGCATATGATTCATGTCTTCATATCTGGATCAGGAAATGTCTAAAAATGTTTATGATTAGTAAAAAGTGTTCAAACAGGCCAGGGATGCTTTGCGAGTTGACAGATACTTGAAATGTCAATGAATGGACAGAAAACAAGTTAAAAAAAACAAATGGTGAATAGTTCAACAGAATCAAAATTAGGAGAGGAATATTCTAAAGTGGTTTACTGTTATCTTTATGGTTTGTTTGATCACTGATCCTGCTTACAAATAATTTAAGCAAAACAAAATATGGCTTTTGAGTCTCAGAGCAAAGACAAATCAGCTATATATTCAAGACCTAAAATTATTCTGAAAATCAAAAGCAAAGCTTGAATCTCTATTAAACGATGCCGATACATTCAGAGAGGATATCAGAATACAATTCATCTTAGACAAAGGTGCAAGTTTAACAATTAAAAGGGGCAAAATTATTGAAGGAGATTAATTCCAGTTAATCAATGGGAATGTCATAAGACAATTGGCACCAGAGGGAGATCAAAATACTTAGGGTTAATGGAAACTTCTGTCTCATGAGCAAGTTAAAAAGAATACTAGCTCTAATTATAGGAAATGCATTAGGAAGAAATTGTAAACTAACGCAGGAACATAGTGAAAATCATAACCACTTGGGTTGCTCCTATTATTCAATATACAGCAGGTGTAATTAATTGGATACAAGCTGAATTAGACATACCTGATGGGAAAAACAAGAAAATTAATGACCGCGGATCATGCTTTCCATCCAAGAAATGTTCTTGAAAGGCTCCACTTTACCAGAAATATGGATAGGAGAGAACTCCTTCAAGTAAAGCAAAAAACTGGAACTTAGACATAGACTTAGAATAACTTTATTGTCACTTTAAATGTACACTAATCGGCAGACATTAAAATGAAATTTTGTTGCATACGGCTCTCAAAAGGTCACCATCACCAATATACATTACATAAACTTATAGGAAGGAAGGAAGGAAGGAAGGAAGGAAGGAAGGAAGGAAGGAAGGAAGGAAGGAAGGAAGGAAGGAAGAATTAATTATGTATATATCTACATACCCACATATCAGTAGTGGGTTTCAAATCCTGGTGCTACCGGTAGCGCACAAGTGCGGGCACTCACTTTGCAAGCGCATGGCACTTCTGCACATGCGCAGAGCATTTTTTATGATGTCTGGGTGGGTGGGTGGGCGGAGCCTCCCGCCACCACCACTACCAGTTCACCCAAACTGGGGCAAATCAGGAGCAACCCTCCACTGCCACATATATTGTATTATATGACACAGAGAAACAACACAGTATAGTTTGGATGTATACATGTACATGGTGAAAAAACCGGATCTTGCGAGTTTACCAGCTGGATGGCATAGGGAACAAAGCTGTTACAGAATCTGGTAGTTCTGCTAGAAATACTTCAAAACCTCCTCCCAGAGGGGAGCAACAGACCATAAAGTGGGTGTGTGCGGTCTCTAACAATGCTTTGAGCTCTAAGCATATAGTGCTTATAAGCAGCATCCTGAATAACAGAAAGTGAGCATCCTATAATGTTCTCAGCTGTCCTTACCACTCTCTGTATGGACTTTCTATCTGAGATAGCACGTTTGGTTTTGGGCTGCCACGAAACCAAACGGTGATGCAGTTTGTTGAAAGGCTCTCAATTGTGCCTCTGTAAAAGATGGTCAGGACAGAAGGAGAAAGATGTGCTCTCCTCATCCGATGCAGGAAATGCAGACACTGGTTTGTGCACTTCGCTAAAGATGACTGTGGAGAGACCAATTCAGATTGTTAGTTATCTGCAGTATACTTAATACTGTTGATCACCTCTACAGCTGCATCCTTGATACTGAGTGGAGTATGACTACGCTGGCTCTTTCTAAAATCTACAATGATCTCCTTTGTTTGGTCAACATTTAGAAGCAGGTTACTTTTATTGCACCAGTCCATCAGAGCCTTCACCTCTTCCCTCTAAACATCTTCATTGTTGTCTTGGATAAGACCCAACACTGCCAAGTCATCCACATACTTCACAATATAATTTGGCAGATTTGGCACAACAGTTGTGGAAAATGATTATATTAGACCTAGTAGAAGTTTATAAAGAAAACCTACCTGTGATAGAAGGTAGTAGGCTGGATTCTTGGTGGGGTGAGGTGGAGAGAAGCATTCCAAAGAGAAGCATTCCAAAGAATGCTTTCCATTATGAGCCGAGGTGACACAGTGGTTAGAGTGCAGTAGTGCAGCTAGTTCAGCTGACTGCTAGTTCAGCAAATCAACGGATCAAATCTCACCGGCTCAAGGTTGACTCAGCCTTCCATCCTTCCAAGGTGGGTAAAATGAGGACCCAGATTGTTGGGGGCAATATGCTGTTTAGTATACTGTCTTTGGTGTAAGCCACCCAGAATCCTCGGAGAGTGGGCGGCATAGAAATATGACTAATAAATAAATAATTAATTAATTAATTAACAGGAAACTCAGTTCAGATTGAGTGAGAGATAGAGGATGAATGCAGCCTCTCTTTAATAATTCCCAGAGTCTATCCTTGATGTAGATAATAAGGTGGTTCAGTTTGGCAAGATTTTATCTGGCCAAAAGATACAACTTGCATATTCTGTGATTACAAAAAGATTTATATTACAAAGATAGAAAATCACTTATAATATCCCAAAGTATTTACTTCTTTCCATCTTGCAATAAGTAATCCATGTCTAGGAATTTTCACTGATGGATTATTTATAATAGTTATTTGAATATAATACCGTGTTAATTATCCATTTTTAAAAACTTCTTATAATATCAGAATTTAGTGATCTATAGGTGGCAAGGTCTGTAATGACTTGCCTTGAAGTTTGCAGAGCACTTCTTTAGCAAGGCTCTGTTGAAAGGTTCATCAGGTTTATGTTGGACTTATATGTTCTCCGGTCTTCTCATATAATTGTCACATTGATATTACTGACATTATAGAGCAACCAAAGTGACATAGCCTTTGCATTGCTACAAGCTGAATTGTCCATGTCATTTTTTTGGAACTGAACATTTAATTTCCAGATTTGGAATGAGTAAAGTCTTTTTTGAATTGAGCTCCTGGGGCCTCATGGATACATTCATGGACTTTTCCTGGGAACGATGCAAAGTGCTGCTGTATTCTGACATTTTACTTGTTTTTCTGCATTCCTTCTCAAACCCTACAGACTTGTTGTTTGAAGATCTCCCTTATAATGACAAACCAGGCCTGAGTCTGTTTATCATGAAACCCAGACAAGATAGCCAGTCAAAAACCTTAATCACATTCTAGGGCAGCTCTATCAAATATGGCTAATTTGATAATTTACTAGGAAAGTAAATCTAGTTTTTAGACATTTGTTCACACAGGCTGGTCACTCTATTGTTTTTCAGAAAGAAAAACTGAATTGGGTTACTCTAGCTATAGCAATATTTAATTGTCAATTTTCTTCCAACTCCCTTTGATGGGCATAGTAATATGGGAAGTGGCAGGTTCATTTTCTAAATCTGAGATTCAAGTACCTTCAAATTCATTACTATTGCAACAAAGAAGAAATGTTTCACTTCTGGCAGTGAGTCTCAGCTGCATAGCTTTTGTGAAGAGAATGGAAGAAAACTCACATGGAAGAAAGAGAAAACTCCACATACAGCTTTGCTTAAAATATTTAAATACAGTGTGATCACATCCTGTTCTACATTGCACTAGTATTATAATCAATACCCTTCTGAATTTTGCTAAAACAAAATAAATATCATTGGAATTAACTGAACGGTTGTTATAAAATGTATCTGCCATCAACCCCCTTCTCCAGGAAAATAGATTGCTTGTGAGACTGTTAAGGATATTGTTGTGTTACCAACCAGCAGAGTAAGTGCACAGAGAAACGGTACTGAGAGCAATGAATACAATACATACAAACTGGTTTAACAAAGCTTTTACTTTGTAGTGAAAAACAATTGCATAGTCTTTTAGTCAATCCAAGTCTTTAGCCATTCAAATCAGTTCGAAGTTACAGATATCTTCTTACCAGACAAACAGCAGTTGGTAATAAATAGCAATTCAACGCTGGTAACAAATCAAGATGGTAGCATATCCATCCACGTCTTCACACACAACAGTAACAGTTCCAACCAGCAAGTCAAGCAGCAAGTCAAGCAATGATGAGAGCAGGTCCAACAATGACTATAGCTCGGCTTTCTTCTTATATACAGTTTACACTAGTAATTATCCACTTAAGATAAGTGAAGTCAGCAGTGCAATGACTCAACAGTACAATTATGATAATTGCAGTCAGCATTCAGTCAGCAGTCATTAGTCATTACAATGACTCAGCATTACATCTTAGAGTTACAGAATACATTTAAAGTTATAGCACACATATATTGCCTGGACAACTTGTTAGGCTTACACCATATCCTAACAGAGACTAAGATTTGCAGATTTGTGACTCCAAATCAGAAAGCAGTAACAAAGTTCAGATCTGTCTCAAATATTTCTAAAATAAGAACTGAATGAGAAAGATCTGATCTTTGGTGCTACTGATCTTTGCTGTTGAATTCCCATTAATATCCCATCACAGATGTTATATTCCTGGTTTTCTAAATTGCTGCCCTATTAAAAAAATCATCATCATCATCATCGTCATTGTCATCATCATCTGCTCTTTCAGTCTTTAAATCGAACAAGAAAAATAGTAGATGTTCTGATTTGTTGTGACTTCAGTCTCTCGTCTTTAGAAAATAGTTGAAAGAGGGACCAGGCTAATGATAAAACCCAATGCCCAGAATAGTGTTCTAAATAAAAGAATTAGATGTTTTATTCTTTTTAAAACTGAAAGATAGTGGCAAATATGTCAGGCACAAAGAATCAGAACAGAATTAAGTTCCAGGTAAGAAGATTAATTGTTCAAGTCTATACACAAGAATCTAGTCAACTAACAGTCAGTACTAAATTGGCCTAGACAAGAGTCAACAGAATTCAAGGTGGAGTGGTGGTGGCTGGATTTGGAACATTTATGGACATGTAACGATTCTGGGCTGAATCCTCTCTTGATTCCATCCCCAGCTTCTGCCTCTTCTTCTCCTATGAATGTGCCCCTTACCTTGTCTCCTACACCAGGGGGTCTCCAACCTTGGCAACTTTAAGACTTGTGGACTTCAACTCCCAGTTCCCAACTCCAATTCTGGGAGTTGAAGTCCACAAGTCTTAAAGTTGCCAAGGTTGGAGACCCCTGCCCTACACCATTACCCTGCCCCTTACCCTGTCTCCTACCTACACCGTTAAGTAGAAGAGAGCTTTTAGCTCCACATAGCAGGGGTTTCTACTTTGTAATGGTCATTCATTCCACTTCAAAACATATTCATATGACACATTACAGATCTCAAAGTAACCTCTTCTCCCCTTAAAATCCTTTGATGCATTCTACTAATTATAGGAACATTGGCTATAATAATCTAATGATTAAGGGAAAGCTCCCTTCTATATACTTCACACAGTAAACAGGTAAGTTGAGAGAGCCTTTTAAATATGGTACAAGAAAACCAGCTGCAGATTGAAAGCTTCCTATAACAGAATTGTTTTCCATTTTCCATTTGGTATCGCAAGAGTCATTGATCTGGGAGGGCGAGGCCATGCTGAAAAGGGTAACTTTAAAGAAGCTCCGTTATGCTTTCTTGTTACATTTTGAAGGGCAGTTTTCCTGGTTGCCCTGTTAAAATTTATTGAAGCCTGTCACTTGGGTTTTAGTTACACTTCCAGCAGCAGCAGCAGAAAGCAGGATGAGTTCACTTTTTAAAAATACAGGAAACACTCTGGACCTAGTAACTCAATTTGAAGATCAATATTCTTCCATTATTTAGCATCCTGTCCTTCTGGGGCACATTTTATTGTGCAGAGTTTAACTGGTGAGAAAATTTGGAAGCTTTTTATTCTGTCTGCCATTGTATGATGCACTCTAACATACATTGTCAAATGGTTCAAAATGGGTTGGAAAAAAAAGTTGCCTTAAGGGCAAAAAAAAAAAATCATTGTTTCCAACTGGATTGAGCTGGGGAAAAATATTGATTCTTAGGGATAGATTCATAAGGTCTCCCTGTTTTTCTTTTTCTTCTTCTTGTGGCATATCCATCATCGGACGTTGGCGATCACATTGGCAATCCTATTTTTGTCAACAGCTGTATGAAAAAGTGCTGCTGAGTTTTGTCCAAACTCAGGTTTAGACAAAACTTCAGGTTTTGAAGCCATGATAAAGGTTTAGAAGAGTTGGCAATTAGCCCAGAAACCAGGTTTGCAAGGAAAATTCACTCTCAAATGCTCAACGAATGACTGGATGAACACACGTTGTTCCCTGCAACGTTTGCCAGCTGTGTGCAAACTTAAATAGGCTAAGGGAGTGGCCAATTAGCCCCAAGCCTTACTCTCGAGGAGACCTCCTCCTGAGTAACCACTCCTGCCTTTTGGCAGCTCTGCGTGCTCGTGCATTGAGAAGAGGCTCCTCCACTTCACTCTCTTCACTTGAAGGAGCCTCTGGAGGATCTGAAGGCCCTGGCTGAATCTGTGCCTCTGGCACCACATCTTCTTCAGCCTCCTCGCTGTCCGACTTAAGCGCCAGCTGCACAGGCTGCTGGCGCGACACCACACCCGCCACCTCGTTGTCAGGATCAGCCACAATCCGCACAGGCCGCTGGCGGGCCACAACATCATCATAAACATGAACCATTTGCCAAGCATCTGAATTCTAATCGTGTGACTGTAGAGATGCTATAATGGTCGTAAGTGTAAAAAACGGTCATAACTCACTTTTTTCAGTACCGTTGTAACTTTGAATGGTCACTAAATGAACTGTTGAAAGTCAAGGACTACCTGTACTGCAATCCTGACTAACTATTCTGATTTTCAGGATAGCTGTGTGAGCCCAGGAAAATTCACATTTGGATTTGAAACAAATTAAATAGGTGGCAAGAGAAGATATGTAGCCCAATGATTAGCTGCTTCCTAATTTATTCCATTCTGATAACTGTGCATAATGAATGTATGCTCGGCTCAGAATTCAGAGCTTTGTTGAGTTCTATAATATCTTTTGCTACTTAAAATACATGATAATACCCACAAAAGTAATATGCGGCCCAACTAGACTAAACTTTGGAAACTGTGAATGTTCTTTTCTTACCTGT